ACTGGGTCAACCCAACCCATTTTCCTTCTCTTCTAACCCACTTCTAATTTTCCTCAAAATAATTAAATAAAATAAATACATGTATATTATAAAATATTTTTTCTCTATAATAATAATATATTTCTGACCCTAAATATAATAATATAATTTCAATAACAAAATATCATATAAAATCAACCTTCTCTTAAAACATATAAATATTTATTTAAAAATGCTAATAAAAATACTTATTTAACACGTACAAAATAATTGTCCAAAATAATAATTATTTAAAATGTACAAAATAATATTCCTCTATAATTATTAAAATAATTATGACCAAATACCATCTAATAATAATAATAATAATAACCTTTTTGAAAATTGGGGTGTTACAGGTACAAAGCTAGATTAGTGGTGAAAAGGTTTAGATAGAGAAAAGGTGTTGATTTTAATGAGATTTTCTCACCTATGGTGAAGATGTCATCCATCATAACTATATTAAGTTTAGTTGCTACTCTTGATTTAGAGGTTGAGCAGATGGATGTGAAGACAGCTTTCCTTCATGGTAATTTGGAGGAAGTGATTTACCTGAAGCAACCCGATGGTTTTCTTGTTGAAGGTAAGGAAGATTGGGTATGTAAGCTGAGGAAAAGTCTATATGGTTTAAAGTAGGCTCCAAGGCAGTGGTATAAGAAGTTTGAGTCTTTTATGTGTGAGCAAGACTAAAAGAAAACTACTTCTGATCATTTTGTCTTTGTTAAAAAATTTTTTTGATGATGACTTTATTATCCTACTATTGTATGTGGATGACATGCTTATTGTTGGGGAAAATGTTTCCAAGATTGACAGATTAAAGAAGCAACTGGGCGAGTCATTTTCCATGAAAGACTTGGGAGCTACTAAAAAGATTCTTAGTATTAGTATCACACGTGGTAGAAAAGAGAAAAAGCTTTGGCTATCACAGGAGCACTACATTAAGAAGGTATTGTAGAGATTCCAGAGGCGAGTCATTTTCCATGAAAGACTTGGGAGCTACTAAAAAGATTCTTAGTATTAGTATCACACATGATAGAAAAGAGAAAAAGCTTTGGCTATCACAGGAGCACTACATTAAGAAGGTATTGTAGAGATTCCAGATGGAAAATTCTAAAGCAGTAAGCACTTCTCTTGTAACTCATTTTAAATTGAGTGTTAAGAAGAGTCCTTTAAATAAAGCTGAGAGGACATATATGAGCAGAGTTTCTTATGCATCTACGATGGTAATTTGATGTATGCAATGATATGTACAAGACCAGATATTGCAAATGTTGTTGGTACAGTCAGTCGATTCTTATCAAATCCAGGTACAGAGCATTGGAATGTTGTGAAATGGATTTTGAGGTATCTTCATGGTACTACTGGTTTAAAGTTTTGTTTTGGAGGGAATAAGCCTACTTTGGTGGGTTAGTCAGACTCAGATATGGTTGGAGATGTTGATTCCAGAAAATCCACTTCGAGCTATTTGATTAAGTTTGCAAGGGGAGTTGTAGCTTGGCAATCAAGGCAATAGAGGTGTGTAGCATTATCTACTACAGAGGCAGAGTTCATTGCTATTACTGAAGCATGCAAGGAGTTGCTATGGTTGAAGAAATTCTTGCAGGAGCTTGGTTTTGTGCATGACAAATATCCTTTATTTGTTGATAGTCAGAGTGTTATCCATCTTGGAAAGAATCCAACTTTCCATTCTAGGTCCAAGCATAATGATGTAAGGTATCATTCGATACGTGATGCTTTGGATGGTAAGCTGTTGGAGTTGGCTAAAATTCATACAGATGATAATGGTGCTGATATGATGACTAAAGCATTGCCAAGAGGAAAATTTGAAGTTTTTTGTGAGATCGCCGGTTTGGCGGTTATCTCCATGTAGTTGTGAGGGGGAGATTTGTTGGGTATTGGACTCCCTTCCTATGTGAAGAAAAGGCCCAAAATAGAGAAGCCCGAATTTTGTCTCACTTAAAAACCAAGTAGAGAGGGGTCTATTAACGACAAGATAAGAGAGAGAGAAAATTACACAGTCGTTAGGGAGAGAAAGAAGAGAGAAAGAGAGCAGAAAATTTGGTTCGTATACACAAAGCAGTTTTAGTAAAATTGCGATCCCCACTTCGTTTACCATTAGATCAGGCTGGAAATTTGAAAACAGGTTTTTAACACGGTGATCTTTGTTTTGACCATTGGGATCGTGGATTGGAAGTCTGTGGTTGGAGAAATTAATTTCATACAGTTGCTTTGATTTGAGATTTCTTCTTCTTTATTCTTCAGTTGGAAGGCTTTGTTGCTTTAAGATATTGGTTGGTTGTAAGCATTTTTTTATGTATTTGATTAGACTCTCTTGTACCATTGTTTGATCATAGTGGAGCTTGATTGACTAGCAAATGCCAATGGGATTTTACTTCCCAAATTGAGAGAGTTTTCCCACGTTAAAAATATATGTGTATCTTTGTGATTATTTTCTGCCATTTATTTGTTTTGTTACTCCTCGTTGGTTTTTGCAAGTTTGGGGAATTATTTCCGCTGCGTACTTTGGTACTTTTGATTATTGTGTTGTCGTTTTCCTTATCAGTTGGCAAGATGTGTAATATGATGACATTATAGTTGTTAGCAGAATATTAGGAGGAATATTCTGATTATGTTAGGAATGATTTGATTATGTCATTATAGAAATACCTTGATTTTAGTCTTGTTTCCTATTTTAGCTTAGCTTCAATTATATATGTATATTGATACTGATTGGAATATACAATTAGAAATCTAATATTTTGATATCAACTAATATGGTATCAAGAGCTTGAGTTACGCAACCAAAAGATCTTCTTACTGATTTCTCTAAACTACCTACTCGGGAATTTATTACATCCCATTATTTTTCTCACGACATAATAGATTTAAAAACTCAGGTTGCAGGTCGCAGAGCTTGAGTACAGTTCAACAGTGTTAACCACCCCCAGTGACCGAATTCCTTTATTTTGTGGAATAAGTTAAAAGTATATTAAGATTTAATTATGTACTCCATATCATTTCTGTAAATTTCTTATTTAGTGGAATTGCAAGACATCTGTCATTCACAATTATTAATCAAAGAGATCCGTCGACATAAACGTGTTTCACTGTTTTATAATTTTTATATGTAATAATTTAAATTGTCAAGAAACTTACAAGTATTATATCTTTCTTGAACTTTTCCTTCACTTTCTTTATCAGTAAAAATATAATAATAATAATAATAATAATAATAAAATAATAATAATAATAATAATAATAATAATAATAATAATGCTAAAAATAATAATAAGGATCGAACGTGAATCGCGACATGTATCTTGTAGCAAAAAAGTGAATTCACTTCACTAAATTAAAAAGTGTAGTTGTTGACTAAACAAATGGTCACAATTCCCCTTAAATTAAGCCAGCATATTAAAATTGAAATTCTATTTATGATCGAATTTGACTTTGCAAAGTATATTTTAGAGAATAAAATATATCGATAATTATTTATTAAAAAATTAATGACCAAGAAATATGATAAAATTAAATTCTAAGATAATAAAATCTAAAATTAATTATAATATCAATTAATAATTTTTCCCATATTATTTATTATTACACTTTATACAATTCCATCATATGAGTCAATATACTCATTTTATTCTATTTTTTTTTTATCAAACTATATCAACTATCATATTTATTCTTTTATTTCATTTTCTATCAAGGTGTTAAATAGTATACGTCCTTGTATCTTTATAAAAATAAAAAAAAGATTTTTAAAAAAGATTTTAATATTAATTATATTTAGAATCATATTTTATTTCCATAACTTATATTTAATGTAATTTTTTCATTATGCAAGTTTTCGAGAGAAAAAAAAATTCCTGTAAAAAATAAAATAAATAAATAAATAGGTTGAATCTTTACACATTGTTAGTGTAAAAAAAATTGTATACTACGAAATAGTTAGAAATCGTTGATAGTATATTTTTTAAAATAATTATTATAAAATTAACAAATTTATCATGTTTACTTGTTATTAAATGATAATTTAAAAACTTTAATAAGAACACATATGTTTTGTTTATAAAAATTATAAAAAGTATAATAACTTGTAAAAAAAAAATATAAGGAATGTATAACACTCAGACGTGAGTGTTGTGAATGTATTTTATACCTGATTCGATGCTCACCGGTAGCGGTAAAAAAAAATAATAATAACAAATAAATAAATAAGTAAATAATTCACTTGTTAGAGAATTATTTTTCTATACTTATATATAAGGAAAAAAAATGTATAATCTTTTTTACTAAAATATATATAAATTTTATTAAAATTAATTTTATTTAATATTTTAATCTAAAAATATTTCTATAATAATAAATGAGAATACTATTTAATTATTAGGATCAACTTAACAATAATATATTGAAACTCTTAAATTAAATCTTAATAGGTTATGATTAAAGATACTTAAGTACAGATTAAAGATATGATTGTGATGTATAGTTATGGTTAAAGATCCTTAAGCACACAGTAATGCTAAGAGGAGGTGTGATATATATTTTATGTGAAATTGTAAAGATTAATTATTTTCTTATAGTTTCTATTTTAGATTTTAGACTAATTTTGTATCTGTATCTCTTGTAACGAGTTGGAGTACCCCTTGTACTCCTTTTAATATTAATCTCTTTTGCTTATAAAAAAAAAATTATATTTAATGAATTTATGTATAGTGTGAGAGAAAGAAGGGGTTGACTTAATAAAAATTGGCTATCTTCAATTGAAACTTCAAATTTTGTTTACTAACCCGGATGCTGCAGATCCATCAGTCCCTCCTGAATAATTTTGCTTAGATGAATCGAGACCCAGGTGGCAGTGGCACTGTAGGTTCGGAAAGTAATCACGGGAACCCCCAACTCTTGAGCAACGTTCATAGAAACCGTTGACATAATCCCATCGGCAATGATGCAACAAGGTGGGTCCCACCGGCGAGGTTTCTCCACAAAGCCCCACAACAGATCTCGGAACTCTTTGGCAACCTGGGACCTGCTGCTCGGAGAGATCAACAGTTCAAACTCGTTCGGAGGAAGGTCAACGGGCACGCCGTCGGTGATGGATGCAAAGTGGAAATGGGGGAATTGGGTGTGGAACGATGGCAAGTCCGTGAATTGGAGGAGGCGATTGTGGTTGTGATGTGTGTTCACGAAGGTGATTCTGTGGCCTCTGTGGGAAAGAAGTTTGGCTAGGTTAAACATGGGTTTGATGTGGCCTTCTGCTGGAAAGGGTAAAACCAATATGTGAGGTCTTGTTGACTTCTCCATTGTGAGGACTGAGGAGAGGGGAATGAAGCAATGGTTTGTTTCCACGCATCTATTTATGCTAAGCTTACACGTTAGCATCACTTTTCTTTTTCCCACATCACATTTTTAGAATATTGACTCACTCATTTAACATGTTAAGAGGTGTGATAATAGCGATATAAAAAGCCATAATCATAATGTAACATTTAGAATATGCAATCTTTTTTCTTTTTTTTTATGATTTATTACTGGTGTTTTTTTTTTTTTCTTGACAAATGTGGGAAAGGAGCGAAAGAAGGCAAAGTTCTTCGTGTAGAAATTGTATGTCACAACAATGCATGAAAGCATAATTTATTCTTCGTTAATTTACATATTGTATTAGCAAATTTAATATTGATTTATAATCTAGATTTGATAGGATTGATTCGGATTTTTGTCTCACAAACCTACATATAATAGTTTTGGCACTAATATATACTTTTTGTTAATTATTTTAGATTGTATTCTCTACAATATTAATCTCTTTTGCTTATAAAAAAAAAATTATATTTAATGAATTTATGTATAGTGTGAGAGAAAGAAGGGGTTGACTTAATAAAAATTGGCTATCTTCAATTGAAACTTCAAATTTTGTTTACTAACCCGGATGCTGCAGATCCATCAGTCCCTCCTGAATAATTTTGCTTAGATGAATCGAGACCCAGGTGGCAGTGGCACTGTAGGTTCGGAAAGTAATCACGGGAACCCCCAACTCTTGAGCAACGTTCATAGAAACCGTTGACATAATCCCATCGGCAATGATGCAACAAGGTGGGTCCCACCGGCGAGGTTTCTCCACAAAGCCCCACAACAGATCTCGGAACTCTTTGGCAACCTGGGACCTGCTGCTCGGAGAGATCAACAGTTCAAACTCGTTCGGAGGAAGGTCAACGGGCACGCCGTCGGTGATGGATGCAAAGTGGAAATGGGGGAATTGGGTGTGGAACGATGGCAAGTCCGTGAATTGGAGGAGGCGATTGTGGTTGTGATGTGTGTTCACGAAGGTGATTCTGTGGCCTCTGTGGGAAAGAAGTTTGGCTAGGTTAAACATGGGTTTGATGTGGCCTTCTGCTGGAAAGGGTAAAACCAATATGTGAGGTCTTGTTGACTTCTCCATTGTGAGGACTGAGGAGAGGGGAATGAAGCAATGGTTTGTTTCCACGCATCTATTTATGCTATGCTTACACGTTAGCATCACTTCTTCTTTTTTCCCACATCACATTTTTAGAATATTGACTCACTCATTTAACATGTTAAGAGGTGTGATAATAGCGATATAAAAAGCCATAATCATAATGTAACATTTAGAATATGCAATCTTTTTTCTTTTTTTTTATGATTTATTACTGGTGTTTTTTTTTTTTTCTTGACAAATGTGGGAAAGGAGCGAAAGAAGGCAAAGTTCTTCGTGTAGAAATTGTATGTCACAACAATGCATGAAAGCATAATTTATTCTTCGTTAATTTACATATTGTATTAGCAAATTTAATATTGATTTATAATCTAGATTTGATAGGATTGATTCGGATTTTTGTCTCACAAACCTACATATAATAGTTTTGGCACTAATATATACTTTTTGTTAATTATTTTAGATTGTATTCTCTACAAGTGTCATTCATTGGTTGGTATAGGTTGGCCTTAATTTCTACCTCTGTCCACTACAAGAAAATGATGAATAAGCAGCGGAAAATAAGCATCGGTTAATAGTTGACGCAAATAGTGTTGAAAAAACCGACGTTATTTGAAGATGTAGCGTCGGCTTTTCCGACATTAAACTTAAAATATTTAATTTAAATTTCTTTTAAGTTTAGCATCGGAAAAACCGACGCTATTCTTTAAATATAGCGTCAGTTTTTTCGATACTAATTTAATTTAAATTTAAATTAAATTAGTGTCGAAAAAGCTGACGTTATATTTAAAGAATAGCGTCACTAAACTTAATTTAAATTTAGTGTCGAAAAAGCCGACGCTACATCTTAAAATAGCGTCAGCTTTTCCAACCGTATACGTGCTTTGAGAGAAATAAAGATAATTTTTTCAATGTTATATACGCATAATGTGTTCTAGTACAGTTGGTTATCAAGTTTACTTAAGACCTCAAGGTTCACAGATCGAGTCCCAAGAATGTTAAAAATATGAACGAATAAATGATAAGCTGGAAAAAGAAGATAAAGAAAAAAATAAAATAAATTTTGTGTCAACATAGTGCCAGCTTAACTGACAATAAAAAAATAAAATAAATAAATTTGTTAGTGACGGCTTAGCCGACACAAAAAAAATTGTGTCAACTTATTTAGCGTCGGCCAAAAATCGACGAATAACCGACAATATTACGTCGATTTTTATGATTTAGAGTCAGTTTTTGGCCAACTCTAAATCGAAACATTCTTGTAGTGGTCATTCATTGGTTGGTATAGGTTGGCCTTAATTTCTATTATTATTTTGAACATTTTACATAGATTGTAGAAATGGTGATAAAAAGTGAACATTTCTACATAGACATAGAAAGCTTTTTTTAAACAAAAAAAATTGGTACATTTTTTTTTACAATTCTAAACTTGTAAACAAATCTCAAACAAATATTTGATGATCAATGGCAAAAAACCAAAAGTGAAAGTTTAACAAGACTTGAAGAATGAAAACAAATTAATGTTAACAATAGGAAATCAAAACAAAATATGAAATCAATGATATAACATACATAACATACATAACGGTGACAAAAGTAAGACTTGGAGAGAAAATAAAGCTTCATGAAATGACAAATAACATAATGAGGATAGTAAATAAAACAAAATACAAAATGATGCAAAAACACAAAAATTGGTGAATTAGGTGGATGTCATTGGAGGTCATGAACAATGACGAAATCACCAAAAAAAAAACCTTGTTAGAGACACGCTAGTAGAAAATTAGTCTTTTACGTCACCTCTTTGTCGTCGAACATACCAAAAATTGACGTAAAAAAGATGCGGTGGCATTTTTGTAATTTTTGTGAACTTTTTTAAGTCGGACATAAGGGGTCCGACGTAAAATGTAAAATCTACGTCGTACATAAGATACGTCCGACGTAGATTTTACATTTTACGACAGACCCCCTTATGTCCTACGTAAAAAGGTCCATTAATCTTCCAGCGCGTGTCAGTATTTGAAAACAAGAGACAAGTGAAACGGTGTGAGAGAAAGAAGAAGCTCAACCGCTTAGGTCGAATTTATTTTCTGTCACTCTTCACTTTCCTTCTTCGGTTTCGGTTTCGTCAAAAGTAAGACACCAACACCAAAATTTCTTGCTTTTTTACTTTGTTTCTAAAGTCTAAACTCATGCATGATATATTTAGTTTAATATATGTTTATTTAATTTCTTTCAATTTTTTGTTATGCTTTCAGTTATGATTATTCAGGATATGGAGCATCTACAGGTAAGGTATGTAACTCGCCTGATTCTTAAGTTTGTAAGTTTGTTTCATGCAGGGGATTTTAATTTTGCATCTGGAACAGCTCGTTCTACAATCAGAACGGCCCGTTCTGCAAGCAGAAGAACGACTCATTCTCCAGGTAGAACAGCCCGTTTTGCTTGCACTCATTATGTTTTTTTTTTGTTTACAATTTTTTTACATCGGCTCTTGGGAATGTCCGACGTAAATTTACGTCAGCCATCACAATCGACGTAAATTTACGTCTCTCGGATTAACGTCGGACTTTTTTCTAACATAAAAAGCTTAAAATAACTTACGTAAATTACCTCTTTTGTACTAATGATCGAGATGTTTAAAACATCATCAAGATTACAAAAAGAAAGTTTGGGATAAATTTTTGGGAAGAAAAATAAGAGTGTGCAAGAGTGAAATGAGATTCTAAAATGTTTTCAAAGGCCTTTTTATATCGGTTATAGGTTAATTGGTGTAAAAAAGGCATTATACATCAATTACTTAATAAGCGATGCAAAAAGGTTTTCAAAATTTTCAATTATGTGACTACCTTTATTACATTAGTTATTTAATAATCGGTTTAAAATATTTTTCTTGTACTAGTGACAATCATCTCTTGAGAGAGTTTTTTATGCATCAAAGGGTTTTTATACACGCACAAGTCTTCATATTAATAAGATATTATTTATTTCGAGCCTAAGTCCGCATTTTTTTCCAGTCATCACCTAAAAGACTTCTTACTGATGGAGACTTCGTGTGCATATATAAACCTATATCCATCCTCTTGTTTGAACAATGTAGAACTTTAATTGCATCCCAATAATTCTCCACTTAAATAAAAGACTATAGTTTAACCCCATTTTGCAGCGAAAGCAATCAGTCCACGAGTATCTTTGATGGTAGTCCATAAAGCTTAGTCACTAGGGATGGTAACGGGGCGGGGCGGGTACGGGTTTCATGATACCCGTCCCCGTCCCCGCGAGTTAAACTCATCCCCGTCCCCGTCCCCATACCCGTTGGGTATAGATTTTCATTCTCATCCCCGTCCCCGTCGGGTATCGGGTATACCCGTACCCGT